TTGGGCGCTCGTGTGGATGATCCTTAGACCGAACGGCAGCGGGGCGCTGTGCTCTGTGTGGGGTCAGTCAGTCCTGATGGGGAAAAGCTTCGGCAATATTCACATTTGCGAGTTAAGAACGAGAGTTTCTCCCCTAATTCCAGGCAAAATGGGATGAGCACGACAACCGAACCCGCCTGGCTGAACGTATCAGGAGCGTGAACAGATGGAAGGAGACCCTGGACAAATGCCTCGCAGACGTAGATGCGGAAATCGATGCCTTAGCCAAAGTATGTTGGGAAGACAGATGGCTGGGAATCAACTTACGCCCTCAACACGGGATGTTAAATAATTGAGGCTTTTCTTTTGCAATGGGCAAGCCCATATGGAGTTTGAGGGGTTTTATTGCAGGTCTGCCAAAACCCATACCTGATGAAATGGCTTTATGGAAAGCACATCACTGTGTTCTTGGCTGAGCCATGCCATTTCGTGGTGCTGTGCATTGCATGCTCATGCTTGGGGTTTTGGGTTGTTTTTGTTGTTTGGTTTTTTTTAAAGCTCTGAAGGATGATGAGAAATATGTTCGCAGCATCATTCACAACTGCTTGATTTTAAATAGAGGAAAGCAGGGGGACGTCTCTCTGATTCTTCTAGTTCTAAACCCAGAGGGTACTGCTCCTGCAGTCATTAGACTAACCAAAGGCAATGCGAATAGCAGGTTTAGAAGACCAGTGTGCTCGCAATTTTCATTCCAGACTTGCTAAAACGTTTCAGAACTGTCAAGACAGGCAGTGCAAAGCCCTCTTAACAAGGGTATTGGAGGGTTCCCCTTCCTTTCTTCCTCCCATCCCTGAAGGAGCCTGCATCCACCCACCAGGTTGCTTCTTCCAGGTGAAGGAGGCAGCAGAACGTGCCCTCCAGGCAAAGAACCTGCCTTTGGACGTTGCCATTGAGTGCCTGACACTCCGGGAGAGCCGCCACGCCATCGACGTGGTGAGGGACCCTGTGGAGGAGGAGCTGCACAAGGAGGTGAAGTTGGTAGACAAAGCCAAGAGAGAGCTGCAGCAGAAAGCGAGTGAAGCCTTCGAACAGCTCTGGTGAGGCAAATGTGACCGGGCTCTGTCCTCCTTGCTTGGCCCCAGCAGTTTAACATGCCTCCAGTGCCATGCTGAGCAGTGGCAAGCAGGCCAGGGGCAGGGAACCACTCGGAGGAGCCTCTGAGGACTGCTGTCAATGTCTTTAGGGTTTGAGGTTGTAGGGTAGAGCATGTCAGGGGAAAGACTTCATCAGCATCCTTGGAACATTTTGGCCCAGACAGATGCCTTGTGCCACCTGCCCTGGTTCAAGACCTGGAGGTGTTAGAGCTCTTGGGCTCTAATCCATGCTGGGTCACTGCCCTGCTACAGGAGGGTGGGCAGCTCAGCTCAGCAGCATCATGCTGGAGCAGAGCATAGGGAGCCAGGCAGGCTGCTTTACCCAGTTGAGCCAAGTTCACTGGGCGGGCAGGAGCTCATCACTCATCTTGGAAAGATGGCTGATGTGGTGAGGAAGGCTTTGGAACGTCTGAGCTGCCTCCCCCTTGGAATGCTCACTGCTGACCCCAGCCCTGCTTTCTGCAGCCTCTTACAAGAAGCTCGCCAGCAGCTGAGCAGTGACCACCAGTGCAAGATGGAAGCATTGGAATTAGATCGGATGTGCTTATCCCTCAGCATAAACTCTCCCAACATCTCCTTCAAGGTCAACCCAACTCAGGTCCCAAACGGGTAAGGAAAGAACCTGCCCTTGTGTGGCCAAATCCGTGCTGGTGCCCAAAGAGCCCTGGGATGCTTTTTCCTTCTGTGCTCTGTCCCAGCTTGATGGGTGCAGGTTTGGAGAGAGCTCTGAACAGGAACTGGCTTCTGGGATTTGTTGTGGCTCCTGAATTGTGAAGCCACAGACTTTTGGGAGTTATCTAAATTGTCACCACAAAACCAGAGGAGCTTGCTGCCCTGCCTCCCTCGTGCTTGGCTACCCAGTAGCATGGCACCAGCCTCTGGCACAGCTTATGGGGGGATGTTGCTCCCCATTTTCACTTTCTTGGTGTTTTATAGCATGGTTTGGATGCGTGTCTGTTTTGAGCAGCTGTTGGGCTCAGTGCAGGAGCCATGGGGTAGCAATTTCCTGCTGGTGTGAGGAAATAACACAGAACACAACCTCCAGAATTCCTGAGTCATTTTGTGCTGCACAAAGCCACCTCGGCCTGCAGCAGGTGGTCCCTTTTGAACCATCTTGCAAATACTCATTTTCATAACTGCTGCTTTGTTCACAGATCAACGACGGTTGATGAGTGGGAACAGAACAGCCAGAGCAACAAGCAGCGTGCTGAGGCAGAACTGAAAACCTCTGCTGAGCTCCGAGAAGCCACAGTGCTTGCCATTGCCCAGGTAAATTAGTCCCTTTGGTGGCACAGAAGGTCTGGATCCCACGGGGAGAATGAGCTGGCATTTGCTGTGGCCAAGGGAAGGGAGTCTGAAAAGACAGCACTGACCCCCTAGGCCTCTTGTAAGAGAGAAGCTTGATGATGCTGTGGGGCTTGCAGTGGTGTCAGCCGTGTGGGAGACATGTACCTGTCCATTGCTCCCTGCCTTTTGGCTGCAGGGGATGCACAGCAGCCAGAACCCAGCTGGTTTTGCTCATAGGCCTGTCCCAACCCAGCAAGGAGCAGCTGGGAAGGAAACATCTTCTAGATGTGTGTCACTGGAGCCTGTTCTCTCTTCAGACAAACAACGAGCTGGAGGCTCAGCGTGTAGCTACAGAGTTTGCCTTGCGCAAGAGGATCAGAGACCTGGAGAAAGCCTGTGATGAACTGAAATGGCAGGAGCAGAACGTAAATGTTGCTTCTTTGGTTATCAACCACAATCTTGGGTGGGAACTGAACCCAAAAGGCTGTTTGTTATATGGAAAGCTATTTAACCTGAGCATAGTTTCCACATGGGAGCTGTTACGGGGCACATCTGTGATCCCTGCAGTATCCTACCTTCTTCTGCTGTCACAGTTGCTGCTCGGGGATTTCTCAGCAGCAGTGCCAGGTTTTGGCCTATTCATTTCAACCCTGGTCTCGACTGCTGTGGCCATAAACCACCAGCAGCACCATGCCTGGGCTGTGTGAAAAGCCCAAACTACAAAGCAGTGGGGTTCATCACTTGGAAGCCCAGCAGCCCTTGTGTAAAATCTCTTCCCTGCACAGTAAAGGCCTGGGGGCTGTGTTGCAGTCTGTATCCCTGCCTGTCCCTCACGAGACTTACCTGTACCCTTAGACCTTGGAGGAAATTGCTGAGATGGAGGAGGAGATCCGACGCCTGGAGGAAGAGCTTCGGAGGAAGATGCAGGATCTGAAAGTGGCGCACACCCGCCTGGAGACCCGCACCTACCGGCCCCGTGCAGACCTCTGCCGGGATCAGGTCCTGCCAGCAGGGACTGGGGGAACTGCCTGGGCTTGGGGCTTGGCCTGAAAGGTGTGGATGCATTGGGAGGAAACTACAGTGGGGCTGAACTCTGGGTCCTGCAGTCACCTCAGAGCGAGGAAATAAGGGCTACAGCTGGGCTAGCAGGGGACGGAGAGAACTGAGGGTTTGGGGAAGAACACTTCAGCCCTGCTCACTGCCTTCTCCCTCCCCACCTCGCAGGTCCAGTATGGGCTAACAGATGAGGTCCACCAGCTGGAGGGAACAATCCGTGCACTCAAACAGAAGCTGGCAGAGGCACAGTAAGTCTCCTGCTCTCTGGGGCAGTGTGGTGGCCCAGCACTGACAGTATCCCTACAGGCCCTTGTCCAAAGCCCCTCTCCAGGCTTCTTGTAGCCCCTTAAGGCTCTGGAGCTGCTCTAAGTTCTTCCCGGATCCTTCTCTTCTCCAGGATGCACAAGCCCAGCTCTCTCAATCTGGCTCCATACGATGCTTCATAGGAAGCACGTGAGCTGGCTGCTCACAACCCCAAACCGTGCTGCTCAGCACCAAGAACTGCCTCATGCTGTAGTTCTTCATGCAAAGGCAAACGCTGCACAGAGATTTCTGCTGCCAGAAAGTGGGAAGTCAGGTGTTTCCCACCCAACCTGGGCGGTGAACGCAGTGCCTGAACCCAACTCCTTTCACTTCTTGTTCACAGGGATTCATTGGATGCTCTTCACCGACAGCTTCACCGCATCCAGACAGATCTTGGCTACAGAACGAATTCCCTGGTGCTGGACAACAAGTGCATGGACACCCGGAGGAAGCTCCTGGTCCCCTCCGAGAGGTTTCTGCCGGAGGCTGAGACTTTCCCCGGGGCCACAACCCATGTGGACGAAGGGGCAGCAGGAGCTGGTGAAAGAGAGCGCTACTGACTGCGTTCCATGGCGAGGGAAGCGGGCATCTGTGTCGTGTTAGAATGGAATCCTGCTCCCTCCTCCTGGTTTATTACATAACTGTCTGTGCCCCCCCCCCCCCCAGCCCCTGTGTGATGCTCCCAGGAGCATCGCGAACAATAAAACCAGCCTGTTCCCAAGATAACGTTGTCATCTGGCAGCGCTGGCAGGGGTTGAATCCACCGGGGCTCCCGGGTGGTTGAAACCCTTCGAGGTGCGAGGCAGGGCTCGGGAACGGGACGGGCTGAGGCTGGCAGCCCCCGGAGCCGCTCGCTGCCCGTCCCCGCTCCCAGCTCCTTTGGGTTTAGGCTGGCATTTCCCCTCGGTGTGTGTGTGGGGGGGGGGGAACACAGCGATGGAAGCGGGTGCTGGAGCCTGTTCTGCCTCCTGATGGCACCGGCTTTGCCCAAACGGACCTGCGGGGCTCGTGTCCTCCTCAGTGGTGGTGTTTCCATTCCAGGCACGTTCTTCCCGGGCGGAATCGGTGTGTACCGCCCGAGGCGGGCCACGCTGCCCGGGAGCCCCGCGGCAGGCGGAGGCGGGCCGGGGCTCAGCGCTGCTAGCGGGGCGTTACGGACACCCCGGCTCCGGCTTCCGGGCGCTCCTCCGAGCCGCTAGGGGGTAGTGTCCGCGGCAGCCGCCCCCTGGCGGCCCGGAGGAGCGCGGCGGCGGAGCGGTAGAAGATGGCGGCGGCGGGGTCAGGGTCGAGCTCAGGCTCCGGCTCGGGGCGGGCGGCGGCGCGGCCTCGGCCGGGACCCGGCCGGTTCCGGGGCTGCTTGGCCGGGGCGTTGCTCGGTGACTGCCTGGGCGCCGTCTTCGAAGGCAGGAGCGTCGTGAAGCTGCCGGATCTGCTGAGCTTCCTCCGAGGCCTGGAGCCGGCGCCCGGGCCGCCTGATGAGGGGGAAGCGGCCGGCAGCGCCCGCAGAGGTGGGCGGGAGCACCGGGAGCGGGACCGGGGGCCGGGCCTGGCCCCAGCGCCCCACAGATTCGGGCTTTAGGGTGGGTGCCCCCTGTCCTGCCCCTCACCCCAGCGGGGGGACATCCCCGGCCACCCGTGGGTGCCCCCAGGCACGTTTCACGTGTGGTGCTGGGAGCCGGGGTAGCGCAGGGCTGTCAGCAAGGAGCACAGGTACCAAACCCGGATTAGGAGTGAGAGAGGCACAAGAAGGATTATTGAACTCTCAGCAAGCAACGATGTGTTCCTGTTGGCCTTCGGTTTGCAGTCGTGCCCAGAAATGCAGCAGTCCTTTCTCTTCACGTCAGCATATGTTGTAAGGTCCTTGAGAAAGTGACTTGTCCCACTTGTCCTTACATGCCTCTGGGTATCAACTTCCTCTTGATTCGTACTAATCAGTAAATGCACTCTGTCTCCTTCTTGCTGTGGGTGCATCACTCTTGCTCTGTTTCTCACTCTGATGACCACAGCCAGTGACAAGCTGAGTACTGGGCAGTCTTTGGTAGTGTTGTAATCCAGCTGTACAGGGATTTAGGCCTCAGAGAACAGGGAGGTGCTGGCAGTGGGGATGGAGAGGAGCAGAGTTTGTCCCTGGGTGCTAACGTTACGTTTGACTTTCTGTTCTAGAGACGCTGTCATACACGGACGACACGGCCATGAGCAGGTCGGTGGTGCAGTCCCTGCTGGCCAAGAGGGAGTTTGATGAAGTTGATATGGCCAAGAGGTAAGGACTGCAGCAGCCTCAGGGGCTGGAGTGTTGGCATTTACTGGTGAAGGCAAAACTCCCTCACGGTTAAGCAATCGCTGTAATGTTCTGGGAAAGGGGGCAGGGGCTAAGGCAAAGTCATTGTTAGTTTGTGGATGGGGAAAAGAAAATAGGAGTGGTGGCTAATCCTGTAATTCATTGTGTGCTTTGCACTGCCCAGGAACAAGCAGCAGCATTAGTTCTAGCACAGGTGCAGAGCCTGCCTCGAATGAAGCAGGATAGGACTTGCTGTGCTGCAGCTGTGTGTGTATTTCCACCTTGTGGAAGATGAGGCTTAGAAATGGCAGAAGCATTTTCTTTCATGTTTATTTGTTGCTATTTATGTTTGCACTTCCCTTAGTTCAGTTGGTGTGTATTAGTGAGGTCAGCTCCAGTTTGTTTATGATCCATTTCCTTTCTGAATCCACAGCCCTGCCAGCATTTGGTTCCACTTAGGGGAGAGCATTTATTTGTTTAGAAAACTCTTCCATTGAACTCGAACAAAAGACTTTCTTTGTGGTTGTGACCCATGGAAACGTTTCCAGTTTGCTTCTATTTCAAGGCAGAGTCAAGAGGGAAACAAGTGGGTCGTGAGAGGTGATGGTTTATTCACCCTTTCCTCCTTTCACACTGGTTTTTTGGGAATCAGATTCTTTCCCTACAGAACTGAATCACTTGGACCCTGGCTGCCAGGGAATTACCCACGTGTTATTAATTCACTTTATCAACAGCCTCTTTACGAACTTTGGAAACAGACCAAATACCCCCTGTGTTTTTCCTCACCTGCTGTGCTCTCACCCCCACCAGGTTTGCTGAGGAGTACAAGAAGGAGCCCAACAGGGGCTATGGGATGGCTGTTGTCAATGTCTTCAAGAAGCTCTTGAGCCCCAAGTGCAGCGATGTCTTTGAACCAGCCAGAGCCCAGTTTAATGGGAAAGGCTCCTATGGCAATGGTGGTGCCATGAGGGTGGCAGGCATCTCTCTCACCTACTCTGATGTCCAGGATGTCAAGAAGGTACCGTGCTTGGCTCCTGTGGGCACCTCAGCTCAGGCAGTGCTGCTGTCAGGCTGGGCTCAGCAGGATCTCTCAGGTAGGCTTGCTAAGGATGTGTTTGCATTCCCAGTTTGCAAAGCTGAGTGCTGAACTGACCCATGCCAACTCCCTGGGCTACAACGGAGCCATCCTGCAGGCCCTGGCTGTGCATCTTGCCCTACAGGGAGAGGTCAGCAAAGAGACCTTCCTGGAACAGCTCATTAGCCACATGGAAGATGTAGAGGCAGATGATAAGTCTCTTACTGATGCACGAGCGTAAGTAGCTGTGGGGAGCACTGACTCTGCTGTGTACAGTTTATTCTGAGTTCACATTCTTTTTTCTCCATTGTACTCTTTGTTTCCAGGCTGGGATTTGAAGATTTACCCTTTTCAAGGCGCCTAAAGAAAATAAAGGAATTCTTGGAACTCAGCAGTGTTCCAAAAGCAGATGTATTGTTTGAACTGGGTAAGTACCTTTCTTACTCTAAGTACTAGAAAAGAGCTGAAAGGACTGACTCAGCCAGCCTGGCTGACGTGTCCTCCCACAGGTTGCCACTTCAGCCTCTGCTGCCTGTAGGCATAGAATGTGCTGGAAAATTACAGGCTGTTGTGCTTACCAGCCAGTAATTTCGAGTCTTGACCCAATGACTCCCTCTTTGTACAGGTGGGGAAGAAATGTCTTGCTAAGAAAAAATTGTGCATAATATTTCTTAGTATTCTGAGATCTCTTGTCTTAATGGCTGTCAGATCTTCATGTTGGATGGGAATGGGTAGATGTGTATAGCCAAGCTATACTGGCATAGCTGGATGTGACTAGGACTGGGGAACTATGGGGAGATGTTACTGATGCAGTCTCGTGCACCTTGTCATGATAATACCAGTAGTGAAAGCAACTGGCAGTAGGAAGCTGTGGTTAGAAGGAAAAAGGGCCTTCTGTGGGAAGGAAGACAGGAATGTTCTGCAGCCCTGATGATGCCTGGCTTTGTTACAGGCAATGGCATCGCCGCTTTGAGGTCTGTCCCTACTGCGATTTACTCCTTCCTGCGCTGTATGGAGGCTGACCCAGACATTCCTGATCACTACAACAACCTGCAGAGGACCATCATCTACTGTATCTCTCTGGGTGGAGACACAGACACCATTGCTACCATGGCAGGAGCTATTGCAGGAGCTTATTATGGGGAGGAACAGATACCCCCAAGCTGGGAGGAGAGCTGTGAAGCTTTTCAAGAGACACAGAAGCTGGCAAATAGCATGTATGAACTGTACTGCCAGCGGCTCTGAGCGCCGAGGGGAGTGTGGTTTGGAAGGCAAAGGCAGGTGGTCACCTCTGCTTTCCTGGTCAGGATCTGGTGGTGGATCCACACTGCAGGCACCTGTGAGCCTCCACCTGAGCCAGATGCTGCTGTGAGCTGAGAGCTGGAGGCACAAGCTGGTTCAGAAGAGAGGGGATACACCCTTCAGTTGCAGTTTGGCTGGGAAGGGGCTGCATGTGGCACTTGGACAGTGGGTGCATCTCCTCTGAAGTGTACAGGGCCATCTAGTTTTTCTTGAGATTCCTGCTGCTTGCCTTGTTCACCATTATGCCATTTTGTCATTGCAGTTACTAGGTGGGTGTCTGAATTTACTGACTTTCTTGCTGGTTCCCTCTGCTCCACTGTGCTGTGGCCTTTGTTTCAGTGGCCTGTCCTGCAGTGGCTTTAATAGGCTCCACACCTCTCTTAAAAGACCAGCTCCCACTCAGCTGACCAGTTCAGGGGTGGAGGTGGGAGTTGTCAGAGGTACTTCCCTGGAGGGTGTCCTGCATGCAGCAGGGGTTGCTACCCTTGTTGTGGAGTGAGGATGCTGGAGGGTAGATGTCCCAGGGAGGTTTGCTTCCCTAAAGGCAGAACGAGCAGTGGCACAGGTTGGAGAAGGGCTTCTTTTGCATTGCTGGTTGTGCTGGGAGAAACGCCTTTGGTGCATGCAGGGTCCCTGTTGCTGCTGGAAGGGGGTGGGACTCATTACTGCTCTTTGCTCTGTGATCTACCTGGCACCATCCTCATCTACTGCATTTTGTGTTCCCTTACACGCTGGCTTTCACATTGCTGCAGCTACTCCTTTGTTCCAAATCTGTGCATCCTGCATTCTTAATGCTGTCCTGTGCATGTCCAGAGCACCACGTGAGTTGCTGTTTAAATCTGTGGGTGAGGATAGTTGTGAAACCTGGTGTTTAACAAGCACTGAACTCCTGGTTCTGCTGCCATCAGTGACAGAAACTACCTCAGCAGGAAGCAGGGGTTACTTCTCACAGCTTTAAAACTCTGTGCTTGGTAAGAATCATCTGAAAATAAAGGAAAATGTAGTTAATTAGGGGAGAATTTATCAAAGTTCAAGCAGTTTGTGCATCTGAAGCTGGTACTGGTGGCTGAGAACATTCTAGCAAAGCTAGGTTGTTCAGAGTCTTGCTTCCAAAACCTTTGCCTAGTGGAGCTGCTCAGAAAGGGAGCAATAGCTTGGATGTGGCACATCTAAAAAGGGTTGAAAAGCTGTGTAATAATTGAAAACAAAATGGAAGGAAGAGGCAAGCAGTCACCATATGGAAATGTTCATAATCCTGACTGTGACCATGTAATTCTCTAGCATTACTCAGTATTTCTTGTGACTGTTCCCTGCTTGCTCCCTGCCGGTATCACGCACGGTGGTGGTGTGTGTCAGCCTGCAGGCACATGTGGAAGAAGTGTCTGTGGAAAACCAGGTGGTTCCCATTCTTCCTGGAGTCTGCTTCCTCCTAGTGCCCTTGTTCTGTGTGACACTGTAATGGGCTTTCCTTGTATAAGCAAATTCTTGTTCTTGAGAGCATGTGGAATTTCGGTCTGTTGTATATTTATGTATTGTGATGCAGATCAGAGATGGACAGAGTCAGGTTTTCCACATTATTCTGCCACAAGTGTGAACATATTCATGTGATTATTTAAAGAAAGAGATTTTCCTTTCAAAGCAGCTTTGTAATTGTAAATGTTGGGAACTCACAAAGAGCGGAAGAGCTCCTGTTCAAAAAAACACAGCTCATTTGAGGGCAGAATTGAAATGTGTTCTCAGACAATGAGCTCTGACTTCCTTGGAAAGAAATAAAGTCACTTGGTCATCTTTGTTAATTAGCCTCTGCTCCTGTCTTTTCAATCAAGTCATGAAGTTGTGCTTCTGTACTAAATGACAAGAGGAGTTGCCAGGCTGTTTCTTCCCACCCTGTACTTCACTTTAAGACTCGACCTGAAACTGCTTTGCTTTGGCTTCTTGAAATCTGTAGAAAGCAGAGTGGAAGTTGTTTGGTGCTGGATGGAGACATCTCACGTGTAGCCAGGACTTGTGCTTCATTTGGGGTGAGTTTGAGCACTGGAAATCTGCTGGAAAAACCACTTTCAGGCAGCCCCTCTTGCCCGTGAGCTGTAATGGGAGTTAGAGGTTTACTGAGAGGCCCTTTTCTTTTGCAGGCTGCATTTGCAGGGAGGACCAGCATGTGGAAGCTGCCAGAGTGCAATGTGCAGTGATCACGCACGGACCAGGGTGTCTGCTGTGTGCTCCTACCACTGGTGGCAGGAGAACCACTTGTTCTTCATCATCCCCTTTTGTAGGAGTCAGCCCACGTGGCAGCCAGGCTTGTCCAGAAGTGTCACCTGTGACAAGGAGCAGCTCCTCTTCCGGGTAGGAGATCAGGTGGGAAAATGTATTTTCTGTGTACTTTTAGCCTCTGGAAGTGTTTTGCTCCAGGTGATTCCCCATTTCCTCCATGTGTTACTGAATGGCTTTTGCCTCTCAGGATGTGGAGGTTGGCTGTGGATGAGGTTGTGTAACATCGTGAAAGCAAGTGTGATGGTGAAAAACAGGAGGGAAAGGGAATCCCCAACACTTTGCTTGAAATTCCTCAAGTTACGGTTGCCGGTGTGGAAGGGTCTGGGTTTCATCCTTGTCTAAAATGAACTTGCTGAGACAGGAATCTTGTCCTTAATCACAAGAAGCAGGCAGTACCTTCTTATAGGAGAATATGGTTGCTGAAGCAGAACTGGGAGCAGGTAGGCTGGATTTGAGATGGAGACAGCACAAGAGATCTCTATGAATGGTCTTTCTAGCAAGGCTGAGCGAGCCCATTAATAACAGGACAGAGGCACAGCTGAGCCCACCTTTTATACAATAAGTTTTATTGATGTTTTGTCAATACAATCAAGTACTGCAGTTTTAGTTCTGAAGAGAAGGCCAGTTTGTGGTCACAAAAAGAGTGCATTTTAAACCAACTTTTACTATGACAAACAGTGCATGTAGTAAGTATTTACAAAACTAAAAACCTCTATATACTAGGTTAGAAATGAAGATACTAGAGGCAAATTTAACAAAAATAGTAAGAATTTGTATATAAAAATGCACATTGTAATGCAGTTTTCATAATTAAAAATAGACGTACTTCATCCAACCCAACCTTTTTTACTATTGTGATTGAAACCAAAATCCCATGCGCTCACACACACCACAAAATAATCCTTTCTGCTGGCGAATATCACATACTCAGTATTCCAGAATAAAAACTCTTCCTGACAGTGTCCAGTTTAGTGAACAGCCTCCCTCATCCTGTGCATCGTTTTATTTCTAGCCTAACTATGTGCGTGTTATATCTTTGCCTTTCAATTACTGTGTAAATGTAAGAGGTTATATAGCTGCGGAAGGTTGATTATGGTTTATGCTCTGCACATGAAGGGAAAGTGAAATAATTGCAAAACAATATCTACAGCACTGAAGGAGTTAATGTCTCGGTGTGGTTATAATGAGTAATTTTATCATTGCTTTTTTGCCAGCTAGGACAAGAAGTTTAGAATAAAAACAGAACAAGAAGAGAGGGAATGGAGGTTAGAACACAGTATAAATAAGTCGCTTTGCTGAGTAACAGGATGAAGCTTCCAGCCTGGCATGGGAAGCTCCTGGCCCTGCTGCAGGTAGTGTGGGCAGTGGGAACAGCCCCACTGCTGGCCAGGGCCTGGCCTGGCACCGGCTCCAGTCCTTGGCTGTCCTCCACAGGAAAGAGGCTTCAGTAAAGGAGACACAGGCCCCATCCTAGCACCCTCCCAAGCCTGGGCTTGAAGAAAACCTCTGAGCTTCCACTTCTCACTTTAGGGACTCTTTGTATGGCTCCTGTTCCTGCTGGGAAATAACCTGTTATGAACAAAACCCAAACGGTCCTGACACCCTCCTGCCTTTAGGAGCTGAAAACATCCAGCAGGGTCGGACACTGGGGCAGCCTTTCAGCTTGGGAATGTTTCTTCTTTGTACAAAACTTGCAGCTTTATGGGGAGAAAATCCCAGGGAGGGGGACGAGCCAGCCCCAGCCAGGCAGTAGCTGAAGCACTGGCCTCTCGACTGTACATTTCCTTGCTGTCTTTCTTAATTTCAGGGGTAGGTGTGTTTTAAAAGGCAGCCCTGGATGGCAAGAGGCAGAAACACAGGACAGGCTTAATGAGAAAAACAAACTGAACAAATAGAAATCGGAAAGTTGTTTAAATACCTTGTACAGTTCATCTGGAGAACAGTCCCAAGCCCCACTCTTGCTACATTTTCTTTGGCCATTGAACAGGCTGTAGGAAAACTTAAGGGCAATAATTGCTCAGCTGGTGACCAAATTGTTGCTGTTTTCTCAGGGCCGTGCCTTTGCAGAGGGACACAGCGTGTAGCACGTGTGGATTAACTTCAGCAGTGAGCTACTACATCGCTGGGATGAGAACAACCATCCTACCATGAGAAAGGCTGCAAGGAACAGGGTTCAGGTGCTCCCTTTACCAAAGGACAGAGCAGCCAAGTGGTCAGGATCGTGCATACCTCTCCTGGAACCTTCCAGCTCATCCTCAGGTCGGTGACATTTCAAGCATGAGACAAAGTGGTAACAACAGACAAACAGGATTATTTTCTTTTAGCCTAAGTCACAGACTGGCACCTGGAGTGGTGCTTTGACAGGTACATATTGCACTAGACTCGTAAGTAATTGTTAAGTAGATAATAGCACCGTGGTAAAATGACTCAATGGAAAGTTAGAATGAATGCTCATTTTTTCTTAATTAAAAGATCCCCAGGGGAAGGGGGGAGTTTACACATCCCGAAATAGTGAGACAGTAAAAGCAAGTTGTCCATAAGTGGCACTTTCAGGGAAGCACAACTAAACCTTCTGTCAGACCAGGCTAGAAGCACCATAAGCCGGGCTTGCAGTGCCATCCTTGTGTTCTCAAAGGGTAAAGATGCTCATGAGGCCAAGCAAGTCTTTGGGCTGCAAAGAGACAGACCGGACAGAAGCAGCCCTTGGACTTGCCAGTAGATGAATGAACCCAAGAGAGGATCCTTGTTCATCACAGGGGTCCCAGCTTCCCTCAACGGCTTTGGAATAGGTCGTCTGTCGTCCTCCCAGATGCCAGTGCCTGGATGGTTTTATTCCTAAAGGTGCTGAGGAGGAGGGTTAAAAAGAACATTTAATTCTTCTAAGAAGGTGCTTATGCAAAGTGTTCCACTTTTTCTGATTATACATCCAACCACACTGAATCCGGAGTGAAGCAGAGAGACTGCTGCAAAGCACAGTCTGAAAGAACAGGCATCAGTGAGACCAGAACTTGGGCATCTGATGGTTTGGGAAGGAAATTTCTCAATCCATCACGGACCTCTGCTGCTGTAGAGGTTTGTGTTAAGTGCCTAGCACCCCTGCGTTGGTTAGCAGATACACCATCCGTTACAACAGCTGTATTTATTTAACTTGTACTCAAATGGGAAGCAAGGGCACTTGATTACAGACCAGAAGGGTCTGCTCTTCCAGACGACCCTCTGGATCACAGAGCAGTTGGCTGCAGAGCCAGATCCTTGCCATCCCGAGCACGTTCCCGGGTTTGATGTACAGTCACTAGGGTAAAAGTTATTCCAGGTAGGCTTTGCTGAGGAAGTCACTCCTCAGCCTCCCTTCTCCCTCCCCAAAAAAAGATGGATAGGTGTCTCCTTTCTGGTTACCCTCTTGACTCATGGATCAAACAGCGTGAAGCAAGGTCCCACCACAGCGGCTCGCGCGTTCTTCCCAGTGATTTTTCTTTTTTGTATTAATTTTAACCTTTTTTATCAAAAAACGAACAAAAAAAGACAGTTTATGGCTAACGTGGGTGAAAAGGAAACGCGCCCAACAGCCGTTATGTGGGGCAAAGCAGGAACCCAGAGAAGGAGGAGTGGATGTACTCCGTGGAGTACAGCCCGTTGGCCTGGTCCGAGGGCATTTGTACCCAGACTTGGTCGTTCTCCTTGAGTTCAAGCACGGCACTGCCCGAGGCCTGGTCCAGGTAACCCTTTTTGTACTCGTCGTAGGTGTAGGTGGCCGGCACGTTGTTCTTATAAAGCGCCACCCAAACGTTGGTCCCTTTGACGTGCACGTGGTAGGCAAAGTAGTAGATGCCGGATACGGGGCAGGTGAATATCCCGGTGACCGGGTTGTAGCCGTTGTGCCCGTTATACAAAGTCCGGTCAAACTTGACCGGCATGCCCGACGCTGGGAACGGGGAGGTGAGGATGGCGGTGAAGGCCGGCGCGATGCGGGCGGAGAGCTCTCCTCGGCCGTACTGCGGCTTCCCTGGCTTCCCGTTCCCCAGCACGGCCCCCTCCACGCCTCCGTCTGGGAGGTGCAGCCCCGCGATGCCCGTCTCGTCGAACACCCCGGGTGCTCCCGGTGGTCCGGGTGGCCCCGGTGGACCCGGTGGTCCGTTCAGCCCCGGCGTTCCCGGCATTCCCGGTGGGCCGATGGGTCCGGCCATGCCAGGCTCACCGGTCTTCCCCTCACCGGGAACCCCAGGGAGCCCGGGCTCTCCTTTCAGCCCTGGTAGCCCCTGAGGCCCCATGGGACCTGCGGGTCCTTGCAAGCCCGGGATGCCAGAGGGGCCCCTCAGCCCTGGCTGTCCCGGGATCCCACCATCCCCTTTCGGCCCAGGGCCGCCCGTCAATCCTGGCACCCCAGGGAGGCCGATGAACCCTGGTTCCCCCTTGGGGCCCATTGGGCCAGGGGGTCCCAGTGACCCGGGCAGGCCCCTTTCTCCCGGCACCCCCGGCTTCCCTGCGAAGCCGTTGGGGCCCTGGTCACCGCGCATCCCCGGCATTCCCGGGGGACCGCTCGGCCCCACATCCCCTTTGGAACCGGGCAGCCCATGCTTGCCCGGCAGGCCCATGGACCCCGGCGGGCCCGGTGGCCCGATGATGCCAGCAGGGCCTGGCTCGCCCGGCTCCCCATCAACACCAGGTTCCCCCTTATCACCGATGGCTCCTGGCACCCCGGGCTGCCCACGGTCTCCTTTCAGGCCAGGCAAACCCGGCTTCCCATAGCCCGTTGGGCCCGGCAAACCAGGGAGGCCACGGATCCCAGGCTCTCCCTTCGGTCCCATGGGACCCTGTATCCCCGGCACCCCTGCAGCGCCTGGGACACCGATCCCATCGATGCCAGGGGGGCCTCGGGGCCCCATGGGGCCGGGCTCTCCATTGACACCAGGCCCACCTGGGGGGCCCATGTCGCCCTTCTCCCCCGGTGCACCCGGCAGCCCATCGAGGCCAGGCTTTCCAACGCCAACGGGCCCTGGGGGCCCTGCAGGGCCAGGAGGGCCCCCGTTCCCCCGGGGCCCCGGTAACCCTGGCTTCCCCACGCCATTCTCGCCCTTCATCCCTCGCTCCCCGCGGGGACCCGGCTCCCCTTTTGGGCCAGGTTCACCTCGAAACCCAGGCAAGCCGGGGCCGCCCTGGGGACCCGGCTTCCCGTTGACGGAGATGCCGGCTGGCCCCGGCAGCCCCGGGGGGCCGGGCAGTCCTCTTGGCCCTTGCTCTCCTCGCATGCCAGGCTCACCCTTGGCTCCAGGCATCCCTTTCATACCCGCCTTTCCAGGGAGCCCTGGGATGCCGGGTTTCCCGATGCCCGAGAAGCCAGGGGGCCCCGCGGGCCCGGGCTGGCCGTGCATTCCCGGTTTCCCCGTGCCCGGCTTTCCTGGGTAGCCGGGAGGCCCTGGGGGTCCCCGTGGGCCGGGCTTCCCTGGTGGTCCTGGCTCCCCTTTGAGGTCCATCGGCAGCAGCGGTGGCATGTCTGTGGAGAGAGGAGACACAAGAGCTTCAGTGGGACCGGTGGTGGATGCGTGCGTGGTGCGTGATGCCCTCGGGGTGTTAAAGCCTCAGGATCTGTGCTTGCGAGAGTGCCCTTCTCTAGAAATGGTTTCGTTTCAACATGGGCACGGTGGCTTCCTGGGCCACCACATCAGCAGGGCTGTCTTGAGGCAAGACCTTGGCCAGAGTCCAGGGTACTAATCCAAGCCTTACTCCATCCATCCCTCCACAGAGGGTGTCAACAAGAGCAGCACTTGCCGTCGGCTCTGGCGGTGTTGCTCTTTGATGACCCAATGTGGGGCTTTCTGAGGAGCTGGATTCAACCCTTCTGCTGCCTCACTTCCCAGTGGCCTCAAAAGCACCGTGGGATTTGGTTGCTCCTGCCTGGAGTCAGCACAGAGGATGGTGACAGAGCAAGCCAAGACTGAGGATAATCCCTGCACCCCATCCCGCGGGTCCAGGGCCTCAGGGGACCTTTAATCCTTTTGGATTAAAAAGAAAACTCTTGGACATGTACTTAAGAGACCGCAGAGGTGATTCGTGCATGGGTTAAGCCGTGCCCGCGGTGCTCGCTGGCTCAGCTCCTGTGGCCAGCAAGACACAGCAAAACTCCCCAAAGAGAATTAAAAAGTGCTGAGGATGGAGGGAAAGCCAAGAGCTTCGAGGGAAACGCAACCTCGGTTACGTCCAAATGAGTCAGCCCAGCTGGGAATAGGCTGGAACCACTTGACATTTAACGAATTTATAGAGCTCTTTTGCAAACGGATATAAGAAAGAAACTAATGGGCTGAGAGCCTACAAAGGCGAGGAGAGGCCGATTCCGTGCCCACCGCAGCTCGGGGCTTAAAGCGCAGACGTGAGCATAAAGAACTCCCTGAGGCTGGGGGCTGCTTCCCACGTGACAGCAGGAACGGGCGAGAATGAATCTGACAGAGGCTTTCTTGGGAGGTTTGTAATTAGGGACACACTTGGCAGTGGCTGTGATGGGAAATGGGAGAGGAAAGGGCTTTGACATCCTGGTAGGTCATTCCAGCTGGGAACAGACCTGTGTGGTCAAGTGCCTGGGCTGGGAATGGATGGTGTCTAGGCTGGGGCAGAGCACGGTGCCCCAGTGTAACTGAGGAGGGGGCAAGGGGGTCCCTGAGCTCTGCCTGGGCACTGAGGACGCTGAGCCCGGATACCCCAGCACCAGGATTTGCCACCACGGAGAGCTTGCACTCAACGGGAAGAGATTAGGGGGGATTTGAGACACGTGAAAGGAATAACCATGGCAGCAGCAGGCACCGGTGCCTCGGAGGTGGCTTTACCTTTCCTAAGCCCAGCCATTAGCTCTGGCCATTCCCAAGCCTGGTGCCTGCTTGTTTTCCTTCTGGCACTGGAAACCTTTTCAGAGCTTATCTGTAAATCAAAGCCTGGCCCACATCCTAGGCTGTGATCAGGTCACTTGGCTCTCCTGAGGGAGGAAATACTTGTCTGTCAAGACATTGCCACTGGATTTCTGCAAACCTCCTGCTCCTTCCCCCAGAAAACAGTGTGGGAAAGGAGGCAAGGGGAGATGGGAAGGGTTGCGCTGAAGCAGATTTCTGGAATTCTGGACAAAGCCATTTCTCCAGGCAATGATTTCAATGTGTTCTCCCCCTCTGCCTTTCTTTTCTTTTTCTTCCTTGCGATGGTTTGAAAAGAGCGAGTTTTCTAGGTCATTTTGCATGGCATCAGAACAAGGATCTACAGCTGAGCCCGCGGAGGAAGGGAAAGGCACACATACGCTCTCACACAAGGCAGCGCAGAGGAGCGCCAGGCGAGGGCTGCCAGCTTGCAGGCGGCCAAGAAAGCAGACGGGAAAACCAAAGCGGGGCCGTTAGCGGAGAGAAACTGGGGCAGCGCAGCCCCGCTGGTGTCCCATTTCAAACGCCGGGCTCTCACCACAGACACATGTCTGGGAGCGCTGCATTTCAGAGCAGCACCATGGGGCTGTGTTCCCCTCCAAGCATGAACCAAGCTGCCATGAATGCTAGTGCAAGGAGCCAGCTGCGGCAGCGGCAAGGGGAAGGAGCAGGCACGGCCCCTGCGAGCTCTGCCCTGGGTACCACCGAGCTTTCCGCCTTGCTCAGGAGCGTGGATGTGGCCAGGTGGGATGCTGCAGCCCCTCCGGAGCTGTGCTCAGCCCTGCACGCCTGGAGGAGGGACGCAGCAGCACGGACTGGCCAACAGAGGAGGAATCCAGCAAGATGGGAAGTGGTTCCCAACCACGAGCAGCCAGCAGCAGGGCTGGCCAGCGCGGCCGGATGACACTGCAGGAAGGAGAGGTTGGCTGCTCCATGGCAGAGCCTGCCCAAGCTTGTTCCAGTGCTGCTGCCAAGCCCTGTCTCGTGAGAGTGAGTTTCACAGGCTCACAGGACCAGTGTTACTGCATCCCTCGTCCTGTCTTCCACTGGAGGCTCAGCACAGGACCCAGCCGCAGCCCCACTGAGAGCTGCCGTGCAAGGGGATGGTGGTGAGATGGCAGCAGGCTGCAGAGCACAGCATGGCAATGGCAAACAAGGTTTCCCCATCAGCAGGAGCTGAGGGATCGGGAAGCCTCTTGGCCACGTGCATCCAGCATCAGCCCCACAGGGATCACACGACTGAGTCCTTAAAAGCAGCAGCACCAAGCCGGAGCCAGCAGAGCCACCGGCTCTGGGGATGCTGGATCCCTGGTAGCAGAGGTTGTGCAATGGTTTGGCACTGAGCTTACCCAAGCCTGGGGAGGTGAAAAGTGCTCCTTTAGCTTTGCAGCTGAGGTTGGTGCTCCCAGGTATTGCCACTAGAGGGGAACTGGCATAAACCCCAACCCCAGGCATTGCCTGGGCCTTATCTCTGCCCTGAGCTGGGATGCTGCTGGCTTGACTCCCCACATGCACAGGGAAATGATGGGCTCCCTGAGCCGTTTACCTGCACAGACCTGGCTTTAAGCAGCCCAAAATGGAACCCAGCTCTGCAAATATCTACTTAAATGCTTTTAGCATTTTAGTGTGTAGCAGCATCTCCTGCCCAGCGCTGCCTCTGTGCTCCTGGGGAGTCTGGCACCCTGAGGAACCCAGCCCTGCCTCTCACTACATGGCACCCGCTTGCTGATGAGAGCCCCCCATGGGGCTCCCAGCCCCAGGGGCAGCGCAGGGGTAACACCCAGGGGCACAGCACGGCCCAGCACCCTCACAGTGAGTCAGCTGAGCCCCTGGGGCAGGGCAGGAGGCCAGCGGGGATTTTCCTTGCCAAATCAGAAGTTAAGCAGAGACAGGAGCTCGGTGGGACCCAGGAGGCACCGGCTTCCCCAGCTGCCTCTCTGCAGCCCCATAGCTGGTGGCTGCCTGCATCCTGCTGCCTTCATCCTGCTGCCTGCATCCCCACTGCCTGCATCCTGCTGCCTGCATCCTGCTGCCTTCATCCTGCTGCCTGCATCCCCACTGCCTGCATTCTGCTGCCTGCATCCCTGCTGCCTGCATCCCCGCTGCCTGCATCCTGCTGCCTGCATCCTGCTGCCTTCATCCAGCTGCCTGCATCCCCGCTGCCTTCATCCTGCTGCCTGCATCCCCACTGCCTGCATCCTGCTGCCTGCATCCCCGCTGCCTGCATCCTGCTGCCTTCATCCCGCTGCCTTCATCCCGCTGCTGTCCTCTCTTTCCCAGGGGTTTTAGCAGAGTAACCTCTGGGGCACTCCATTGCTCTGCCCTGCCTCAGTGTCTCCTCTGAGCCCTGTCCAGCCTGGTGAGGCTTGCAAGGCACACTCACTCCTCAGTCGGCCATGGTTAGCAGGCAGCAGTGCTCAGAGGCAGCACAAGCATAGGAAGAAAGGGGGGGGGGGAAGAAGGAAACCCAGCAGGGAGATATTTGAATCCAGTCCCACCAGCAGCTGAAGCGTTCCTGCACTGCGCTGGAAGGTTTTGTCTCTGGCTGGGATTCAGGGAGCAGCTTTACAACAGCTGGGAAGGGGGCAGGGAAGCGGGGGGGGGGTCATAGCGTGCTCCGGCGCCAGGTTTTGCTGTGTGCGTTCTGACATGTGCTGAGCTCAACTCCTGATAAGCCATTCCGCCCTGCAGGAAATCGGCACCCGCAGTCCTGCCTGCTCCAGTTTCTCCTCCCAGAGCCAAGATTTTGGCTCCCCGGAGGGTCTGGGGCTGTGTGAACACACGGGGAGGGCTCCAGCAGCTCTTCCCGAGGGCAAAGCACCGACCTGGGGGATCCCGGCACCTGAGCACCAGCGCTGCCCCATCCCACAGTGCTGCCAGCAGCGGCTGGAGGGGGGGAGAGCGCTGGGACTCGTGTGTTTGGGGTCAAGGAAAGGGCTCAGAGCCCTCTGCGTCCTTGAAGTGAAGGTGCTGCTGCTGCCATGGGTGCACCCTGGGGCGATGCTGGGACAAGGGGCTGCAAACCCCGGTGAGCTGCAGAGAGCTGCAGAACCTCAGTGACAGTCAGCGCTTGCTGCTTGCACAGAGCCCTGAGCAGTTCCCCAAGGTGGGGGCAATTGCTGTGTACTAATAACGTGCAGGCAGGGCTGGGGGTGCAGGCAGGGCTGGGGGTGCAGGCAGGGCTCGGGGTGCAGGCAGGGCTCGGGGTGCAGGCAGGGCTCAGGGTGCAGGCAGGGCTCGGGGTGCAGGCAGGGGAGCTCAGGGCAGGAGGCTATGAAAGGCTGGGGCTGGGCTGGCAGCGGGGCCGCAGCCCTGGCTCTGCACAGCGCATGGAGCTCAGTGGGCAGAGATTTGACACTCGTGGGGTTTCTGTCGCTGCTGCCCAAGGGAGGAAATGTCTCTGCTGCTCTTCCCACACCCGGCTGGGTCCCAGCTCTGGCCTTGGTCCTCTTTCGCTTCCCAGCTGGTGTGAAACGCAGACAGGGAAAACGGAATAGGTGGAGGAGTGGAAAAAGCCTTTCCGGGACAGCTCAGGTTTAACGTGCAGTGAGAGGGAGGGATGGAGAGCAGCCGGGCTGTGCCTCAAAGCTACCAGCAAGCGTGCAGCAGGATGGGAGCAAAAGGCTTGTGGGTCCCCTTTGTGCACTGGCCCCCAGGCGGAGGGACCCAAGGGTGCTCTACTTCAGTGAGCCTCTCCCCGTGCCCATCCTTGCCCTTCTGCACTGGGTTAAGGGGAACTAAACAGTTCCTCTGTGCTTGGCCAAAGATGCTTTGGGCAACAACACCCACCCGGGCTGCACCCTGGGACCCAAGGGTGAGGAGATGACGAGTGCCTGATGGCTGCGGATGCTCCAGTCCCTTCTCCACGTCCCCGTGTCCCTCCCGCCTGGCGGAGCGCATCCCTTACCCAGGTACTGCCCTTTGCCTTCACGGAAGGGGGGTCCCAGGGGTCCCTTCACCATGGGCTGCATGTACTTCACTTGGGCATAGCCCCCCACGCCGCCTCCCGCTGCCGAGTGCAGGCCGACCACCATCACCACCACCAGCAGCAGCACCACGGCATCCGGCAGCATCCTGCTCCCCTCTGCTCCTGCGGACAAAGCAACAGTGAGAGCGGGCACCGTGCCCCCCGCCTGCACCCTCCATCCCCAAGGATCAGCTGAGAACCTGGGAAGGATCCCAGCAGGAGCCGTTTTCAGCCCCACAGACGCCCTGGACACATTCCCCCTCCCGCCACGCGCCGGCTGGGAGATGCACAATGAATCCATGGGTTAGGAGCAGCAGAGCTTTCAGAGGCTGCCCCAGTACCTGTGTGTCTGGGCTATTCCCATGTTGCATCCCTCAGGCAAGCAGGGTCTCCTCCAGCAAAAGCCAAGCTCTCTCTGCCTCAGCTGGGTGGGTGCTGCATCTCCCAAATGGGTGCTGGACCAAAGCCACGTGGTTGGAGCCCAACACTCCCTGTGTTTTGAGGCACTTTGCGGGCAGTGATGGCAGCTCAGAGGGTGAAGGATGGGAGCCCTGTGCACTTGGGAGCAGCAGCCTCTGCCTTGAACCAAATGCCCCCATCACCGGCAGCTTCCTCAGTGCCAGCTCCATGCCCGGAGCTGCAAACACTGATCTGCAAAGAGCATTTGTTTTCGGAAGCTCCAAGAAGCGGGGATGCCGGAGCCGCGCTGCTTTGCCTCCTCCTCGCAATAACCGACCCGTGGGGGTTATGAATGAGCATTAAGCTCTGCCTCTCCTGCCGCGGAGCAGGGGCAGGGCTGCAGCACACCGGGGTTTAATCGGAATTTCTGGATTGCTTCTGCTGAAGCAGCACTGATAAAAAAGCTGCAGCCGGGAGAGAAAAAGAGCCCCCAATGAGAGCAAATGCAACTGGAATTAAAGCAAACTGATAAAGGGAAGGGGGAGCCCTGGCGTGGGATTGATCCTGATGTGACCTTAGAGCGGCTCCCAGTGCCTGAAGGGGCTGCAGGAAACCTGGAGAGGGACTTTGGGCAAGGGCCTGTAGGGCCAGGCCAAGGGGCATGGCTTTAACCTGCCCAAGGGGAGACTGAGATGAGCTCTGAGGCAGAAGCTCTTCCCTGTGAGGGTGCTGAGGCGCTGGCACAGGGTGCCCAGAGAAGCTGTGGCTGCCCCATCCCTGGCAGTGTTCAAGGCCAGGTTGGACACAGGGGCTTGGAGCAAGCTGCTCCAGTGGAAGGGGTCCCTGCCCGTGGCAGGGGTTGGAGGTGGAGGAGCTTTGAGGTCCCTTTAACCCAAACCAGGCTGTGGTTCTGTGCCACAGCAGTGCTGGACACAAAGCTCTCCTCTGCCCATCGCACCGGAGCCAGCGGTGGCGGTGCCGTTCCAGTGCCGGGCTCAGCCAGGGACACGTTGCCACAGCCAGGGCCGGCGCAGGGACGGGCTCACCACCTTCATTGCGTTCTGTCTTCGGGAGCGAGACGAACGTGTGTTTTTATGAAGCATTATTTTACAGGGATTTGTTTAAGGGAAAGCGAATCCCATTTTAAGGGATTGCAGCTGTAAAAATACAGTTTCTGCTCAATAAGAGAGGCGAGCATAGCCCTGAATCAGCTATTTATTTGTTTTCCTTACCTGGGGTGACCCCTGCGCCTCCACCTCCAGCTCCCTCCCTTCCCAGCTCGCCCTTCTCCCACCTGGGCTTTATTCACCTCTGCTCAACAGGGGTGTTTGCACCATCCTCAATGAGCCCACACCACGGCAGCAGCACCCTGGGGTGCTCAGCACCTCGCCGCTGGGTGCTCAGCAGCGTTTGTAGATGTTCCCTCATCCTGTGAGACCTCAGCCCTTGGGATGAGATGGAACCGGGGGGAAAGTGGAGCCAGAGGAAGGGAGGGGAGGACAGGGTGCTCCGGCTGCTTCGGCTCCAGGTGTGGAATCGAGTCCCCCCGCTCCGCGCCGGGGTGACCGCGTCTGTAACCCAGAGCCTCCAGACATGGGCTTAGCTCCTGCACGTCCTCCCTTGGTCTGCGTGGGGCATCCCGCCTGCCCTGGAAGCGATGGGAGGGAACCTGGCCTCAGACCCCAGGCACATGTCTCTGGTCCTCAAGGAAACGGGGTCCCGGGTGCTTTGCGTCCCCCCCGGCGGTGCCCGGCACCGGGGCAGGAGGCCTCCCATTCCCCGGGCTCTCCAGGCGGTGATTTAATAACCATAAAATGGAAACATCTGGAGCCTCATGTGATGGATAAAGTGCGCACGGCGCGGCTGTGAAGAGGCTCTTTCATGCCTGAGCTCTCCTGCGTTATGAAGTGATAATTAATCACCACGAGCAGCCCCGCAGCGCTCTCATCTCCCAGGGCAGGTTGCAGACGTCGGCCGGTTCATGATGCATATGCACAGTCCATCCTCCGCTCCGGTGCATCCAGCAGAGATCCCATGAGGAGCCGCTCTTCCTCCCTCGGAGCAGTTTCGGGAGGAGAAGCTGGGCCAGAAGAGTTCACAGAGGGGAGCCCTGGGGGTCCAGCGGCTCCAGGATGCTGGAGCAGGGATGGGGTTGAGCAGCACCGCGCTGCCTGGCTGCGGGAGGGGGGGAGCACGGCGCGGCACCGAGCCCCTTGGCATGGCTTCAGAGCGCAGCAGGGCCGCGCTAGCGGTGCGAGTGTCTGCTCCCCTGGCAGCCGGTGAGCAGACGTGTTAAAAACCCCTGGCACGCAATGAAAGCGCCGGGGAAAGGGGAAAAAAAAACCTCGCACTTCAAGCATGAGAGGAGACAAGAAACGACACCTTGTTCTCGCGGCCCCTTCTGCCCCCAGCGCCGCAGGAGCAGCCCTGGCGTGGGCTGCTTGGACTGGCGAGCTCCTGCTGTGCTCCCGGCCATTCCCAATGGAAGGGGGCTGCTGCTGCCCTGCGCGGTCCCCGTCTCCCGGCAGCATCCGAGTCAGTGCTCCGGGTGCAGGAGCGGGGACATCCCGGCGCAGCGCTCGCTTCCCCGCGCACACAACCGGGCGCTTGGGCACTGAGGGGCGGCTGATTTATGGCCCCTGTGATTTCAGTGTTAACGCTGGGGCTGGCAGCACCGCTCCTGCTCCTTCAGGGGGAATTGTTTTCTCAGTCAATAGATGTGATCCGCGGGGAGCGGTGACTGCGGGTGAAGGGCAGGAGAAGGCAGAAGTTGTTTAAAGCCGGCAGTGAAAGCAGGATCGGTGCAGGGCGTGGCGCTGGCCCTCACCCCGGCTCCATCCCTGCACCAAACCCGGGGTCACGCAGCCCCCATGGAGTTTGCTGCGACACCGGGATGAGCAGGATGGGGCTGTTGATGCGCTTCAACCGCATCGGCACGGTCCCAACCCCTTGCCACATACTGGGAGCATGGCCGTGGGCACCACCGGGGCAGAAGCTCCCTGCCGAGCACCGCGCACTCATCCAGCTCAGATGGACTCTGCAAAGAGAAAGCACCAAGAAAGCAGCCGGTGCTTGTGGGTGGGCTGGAGCAGCGCGGGCTTGGACGCCGCCGTGTCCCATCGAGCTGCTCCATCCTCCGGTCATTTGCAATAGAGAACTAAAGCAGGGAGGGTTTCCAAGCCCAACACGGGGCTGGACGGGCTCCAGCAGGAGGTGGATGATTTGGTTTACGCTGCACATGCCTTAAAAATAACAATGGAAGGAGGCGCGAACGCGAAGGGAGCCGCTGCAACCGAGACCACGCGTTGTTTCCGCAGGCTGGGCCGCCGAAGGCATGGGGCAGCAGCTGGGCTCGAGCCGGGCCTTAAACGCATTGACAGCGGAGCCGGTGCAGAGGCTGCAGCACGGCCCCGGAGCCTCCCCCGCCCGCAGCCAGGGAGCAAGAAAACATTTTCCTTGACGGAAAGAAAACACCAACCCCGTGGGCAGGCGGCCCCGGCAGCAGGCGGGCTGCGCATGGCACGGCATAGCGTGGCACGGCATGGTGCATTGCCCTGCGGCACAGCCCCGTGGTGCCTTCAGCCCACAGAGCCGGGGAACGGCCCCATTGCCACCCTGAGCCGGGGTCTGAACCCATCACCCCTTGTCTGATCGCTACAGTCCCCCATGAAGAGCCCCTCTTTGGCATCAGCCGTGCTGCGGGCGGTGCCTCGGTCCATCCATGTTGCTCCGGTCCGGGCAGGGGTTGCAGCCAAATGAACACCAAGGCTGCTGGGTCTGTGCTGCTCAGTGACTACTGCAGGGCTGGAGGGCTGCAGGAAAAGCCATGGCCTGAGCTGGTGTTGGTAGCCACGGGCCAGCCGGTACATGTGAGGCTCAGGCCATGCTGGGATGCAGGAGGAGCTGCGGTGGCAGGAGCAGCCTGGGGCCGGGGTACCACACAACATGTGGGTTGCTGGGCTCTGCTTGCTCTGACGGTCACAATCTTGCTGCCAAACTGGCCCGGGTGTTTGCCCCTCGACCCACTGGAGCGATGCACAATGGGAGGTGGTGTCAGGCTGGCACAGGGGCCGTGGCAGCGACCCCGAGGTCCATCCCTGGTGCCGACAGCGGGATCGGTGCCGCCGCTTGATCCCTCACCCGCGGGGTCAGGGAGCAGCTTAAGGCGATTACTGCCCCTGGGTGCGTGCGTGCCGGGAGCGCTGCAGGGCGTGAGCCCGCTGCAGGTCACAGCTCAGGGCTTAATCCTGCCCCCGGCTGTCAAAACCCCGGCTGATCCCTGCCGGAGCCAGGGGGTGCGCGGGGAGAAGCCATCCCCAGGGAACGGTGCTCACCGAGGTGTCTGGGGACACAGAGACCTCCGGCTCTGTCCTGGCTCGGAGCTGGGGCTGGGGGGGGAACAACCCTGTCCCAGAGCTGCAGAAACTCCCCGTTTCTGCCCCCAGTGCGAGCCTGAGCGGGGGTCACAGCATCCCTGCGGCACCGTGGTCCCCTTGTCGAAACAGGGCTGGGACACCCCCGTGAGTGCCCATGCGGGACCCCAAGGGACGCGTTCGCTCCTGACCCTGTCCCTGCTGAGGGGTTTCAGCCCCCCGGTCCCATCTCCCGCCGCCAGCCTCAGCCCCACTGACATACCAGACTGCGCAGCAGTAATAGCAGGGTTGCCTGCCAGGTGCATAGTTTGACCAGTGGGATCGCACGTGCCAAACCACAGGTATTTTATG